ATTTGAAATAGAAGTCTCTGCTGTACTCACTCATAGTATCCCTTTCTTCTCTTGTATAGCCCTCGTCACAGTTTGCAATTACATATAATTAGCATTTACTTTTTGACTGGCCTCACTCAAGAGGCTGTAAGCTTCATGACAGCAGGGCCCATAGGGTTTATTCCACCACCGTGTTCACACTGCTTACCTGACACTTTGACTGACACATAGTGGGTGCGCAACAAATATTTTTCAATAGTGAAATTTTATGATTCTACTTTCCATTCCACTCTACGTGAAACAATGTTTTAGCTAAACCAAAAAGTACAAATTGGTGAAGGGCTCATGGAAGAGATGTCCTGATAAGGAAGTCAAAGAAGGATACCTGACAGGCCATTTGGGATGGTAAAAATTCTTGAGTGGGAGGAGTAATGATGACTAAATAATGTTCTCAGGAGTTTACCTGGACACAGGAAAACAGGACTATTTCTCATATGTAATAAATGCATGAGGTCAACTCTGCCTGTTAAATCGGCCTTGGTATTTAATTTCTGGGCCAAAAGAATCTAAAAGTAATTTTAAATGCCCTAATACATTAGGGAGTTTGCCAGGGGAATAAAGAACCACACGCCACTCATTAAATGTGTATCAAAGTCTCTGCTAAAAAGGCCATACAGAGACCTTTGGAGACAGTGCTATGAAAGTGAATTATAAACCAGCTGAAGGGATAGTGTAGGGATTTCTGGTTCAAACTGGCAGATTGAGCACATGCTGAGAGCTCACCCTCCTGTACCAAAGAAAAAGGACTTAAAGATATAAAAATTAATTGATACATGCATAGCTAGAATCCAATTTTTTAAAAAAAGGAAAACTTTCTTTAAGCCTAAAAATAATGAAGACGTATCCCCCAAGGAAGAAAATAAACAAGAAGCCATCGTGGTGAGCAAGGGCTGTGCTGAGCTGCCATCAGCTACACACAGGATTGCAGGCCAACTCTGAGGAGGTTGGAAGAACTTAACCAAATCCCACCTCCCCCTCCCAAAAAAATCCCAGAGAAAACAGAGCATCTAAAAAGGTCTTTAAAATGAGTATATTTAATACCCTCAGGCACCTAAAGGATAGAGTAGCATTCATTAAATGTTCTGAAAAATAACCAATTAGAGATTTTTTAAATGAAAACCATAACTATTGAGATTTTTTAATTTTATTTATTTATTTATAATTTTTTTATTTTTGGCTGTGTTGGTCTTCTTTGCTGCGCACGGGTTTTCTCTAGTTGCAGTGAGCAGGGGCTACTCTTCGTTGTGGTGCAAGGGCTTCTCATTGCAGTGGCTTCTCTTGTCATGGAGCACGGGCTCTAGGCGCACGGGCTTCAGTAGTTGTGGCTTGTGGGCTGAGTAGTTGTGGCTCACAGGCTCTAGAGTGCAGGCTCAGTAGTTGTGGCACATGGGCTTAGTTGCTCCGTGGCATGTGGGATCTTCCCAGACAAGGGCTTGAACCTGTGTCCCATGCATTGGCAGGCAGATTCTTTTTTTTTTTTTTTTTTTTTGCGGTACGCGGGCCTCTCACTGTTGTGGCCTCTCCCATTGCGGAGCACAGGCTCCGGACGCGCAGGCCCAGCGGCCATGCACTCACGGGCCCAGCCGCTCCGCGGCATGTGGGATCTTCCCGGACCGGGGCACGAGCCCGTGTCCCCTGCATCGGCAGGCGGACTCTCAACCACTGCGCCACCAGGGAAGCCCAGCAGGCAGATTCTTAACCACTGTGCCACCAGGGAAGTCCCTACTGAGATTTTTAAAAAACCTCCACAGATAGGCTGAATATACAAGCCTGAATACTGCTAAAGGCTGATGGTACTTTTTTTTTTTTAAGTTAAGAAACATTAGAGCTAAATCCAGTTTTAAAGTCTATAACTCAGAGTTCCAGAGAGACCAGAGGCAATGAAGGAGAGGCAATAGTATCTAACACATCAAATGGATGAGAATTTTTCAGAATTGATGAAAGACATGAACCTTTAGAGAGTAAGAATTCTCTGAGTAGTAAAACAAATTAAATAAACTTTTTAAAAAACTTTGTATCCAGACAAATTATAGTAAAACTTCAAATTACCAATGTTATAAAGAAAACCATAAAAGTTACTAGTGAAATATGAGAGGGTCAACAAAAAGGAAGGGGAATCAGATTGTTATCAAGACTGGTTACAAGATAATAGAGGAATGATATCTTCAAAGAATGAAGGAAAAACATCTTTTGGCTAGATTTTAAACCCAGATAAATTATCATTCAACAGTGAGGGTATACCACAACAATTAGGCAAGAAAAAGAAATGAAAGATATCTAAACTGTAAAGGAAGAAGTAAAACTGTCTCTATTTGCAGATGAAATGATCTCATATATAGAAAACCCTAAAGAATCTACCCCTCACCCCCCAAAAAGAAACTGTTAGAGCTAATAAACAAACTGCAAGGTCAATGTACAAAATCAGTTGTATTTCTATATACCAGCAATGAACAATCTGAACATGAAATTAGGAAAACAATTTCATTTATAATAGCATCAAAAAGAATAAAATTCTTAGGAATAAATTTAATCAAAGAAATGCAACACCTGTACACTGAAAACTACAAAACATCATTGAAAGAAATTAAAGAAGATCTTGGGCTTCCCTGGTGGTTCAGTAGTTAAGAATCTGCCTGCCAATGCAGGGGACACGGGTTCGAGCCCTGGTCCAGGAAGATTCCACATGCCGCAGAGCAACTAAGCCTGTGCACCACAACTACTGAGCCTGTGCTCTAGAGCCTGCACACCACGACTACTGAAACCTGCCCACCTAGAGCCTGTGTTCTGCAACAAGAGAAGCCACTGCTATGAGAAGCCCGCTCACCACAACGAAGCACAGCCCCCACTTGCCACAACTAGAGAAAGCCCAAGCACAGCAATGAAGACCCAATGCAGCCAAAAATAAAATCAATAAATTTATTAAAAAAATAATAAATCAAAGAAGATCTAAATAAATGGAAAAACACTCCATGTTCATGGATTGGAAGACTTAACATTGTGAAAACAGTAATATTCCCCAAATTGATTTACAGATTCAGTTCAATCCCTATCAAAACCACAGCTGCCTTTTTTGTAGAAATGGACAAGTTGATCCTAAGTTCATATAGAAATACAAGAAAGATAGAACAGCCAAAATAATCTCCCAAAAGAACAAAAGTTGCAGGATACATACTTCCTGATTTCAAACTTACTACAAACCTATTGCAAAGTAGACTAGTTTGCTTTATGTTAGAAGGTTCAGGGATATTCATAAATTTATCCATCACTCTCTGCAGTTACACAGAAATCCCTAATTAATACCTGAAATTATTGTCTTTGAAAAGGTTTCTAAGTCTAAACACTGTGTAAGGATTAAACAACAGTTCATGAAGGCTTTTTAAGTGGCTCTCTAACTGGTGCCCCTGTTAGCGCCATGCACTCTACTTCACACCCCACACCTCTGTTTGCATGGTTTGCTGGAATTCCCAGAGTAGAAGTACAGCTGATAATGGTACTCTTACAGCTTCTTCACTCAAGGTCTTCACTATTCCTCTGTCCCCATATAAAGGTTTGGGAAATGACAAATGGACAGAGTCACAGGAAGCTAAAGGATGGTGCTGTAGACAGAATGCTGAAAGTGACTTTGATGATGTGTTAGGAGGGGTCTAGAGTATTTTTCATTTCAAAGATGTTAAGCTTTTGGATCCACCAGTGCTTTTTCACTCATGACTTACTGCAGTGTACCCAGAGCAACAAAACATTTGACTTGATCCATTTAAAGGTTTACGTGTTCAAGTTACTTTTGGAGATCTTTCCTTGGGAAAGATCAAGTTATATACGGGATTGCTTTCCCTGTTTTTAAAAAAGAAAAATATCAAAAGCTTGCTGCCACTTATACTTCTCCTACTTTCCTATTACTCTCCTTCCTTCCACTGCTACTTATAACTTTAAGATCACAATAAATTAGAAATATAACTCTGTTTCACTTTGATGACTCAATTTCATCCAAACTCTCTAAATACATCTCTGACATCAGTATCTTCGTCATCACTAAAGGTTCTCTGAGTCATCACACAATTCTCCAGAGTACATCATGGTCATTTCTGCCCAAATTGTTTAGAAATAACTCCTCTGTATCTAATGCTCTCAATGGAAAATGTACCACAAGCTTCTCCCATAATATTAAGCCAGTTGGCATTTTCATCTATAATCACTTAATGCATTTTTATTTTTAAAATTAAACTTAATCTTTTCTACACACATAATTAATAAGCTTTATCTAATGGGAATATGGGAGAACACTGCGCTCAGTACTAATCTGAGGGCTTCCCTGGTGGCGCAGTGGTCAAGAATCCGCCTGCCAGTGTGGGAGACATGGGTTCGAGCCCTGGTCCGGGAAGATCCCACATGCCGCAGAGCAACTAAGCCCGTGCGTCACAACTACTGGTCTGCGCTCCAGAGCCCGCGAGCCCGTGAACCACAACTACTGAAGCCCGCCCACCTAGAGCCCGTGCTTTGCAACAAGAGAAGCCACCGCAATGAGAAGCCTGCACACCGCAATGAAGAGTAGCCCCCGCTTGCCACAAGTACAGAAAGCCTGTGTGCAGCAACGAAGGCCCAACGCAGCCAAAAATAAATAAAATAAATTAAAAAAACAACAAAAACTAATCTGAGAACATTTTTAAGCATACAGAGGATGTTTAGAAAAATTGTTCAGATACTTGACCCTAAAAGAAATCTCAACTCTACCAAAGAATCAACATCATATAGAATACCACCTCCTACCAAAAGTCGATAGTATCAGAAACCAACAAAAATTACCCTCCAAAGTCTCATGTGTTTGGAGATTTAAAAAATCACCTTAACTCTGCATATTAGAAAAAAAGAATTTTAAAAAATCAATTAACTGAATAATCATCTAAAGAAGTAAGAAACTAGTAACAGGGTTTGATCCTTACATGTTGGAAGGAAGGAAGGAAGGAAGGGAGGGAGGGAGGGAGGGAGGGAGGGAAAAAGAGCCATGAATGCCCTCAAGACTTATATAAACTGCCTATTTGACATCTCTATTTGGGTATCAAAAAAACCTCAACATGTCCAAATGGAGCTCTCATTCTAGACAAACTTGTTCACCTGTAGGTATCCCCATCTCTTATCTTTCCAATTGTTCAGGTCAAAGTGACATCTCTCTTCCTCTCATACTCCACATCCAATCTGTCAGCAAGATTTTTATCCCTACATATTATGCCAGGTCTAGATTTAAAGGCTGAGCTCAGAGAGATAACATAAATGGCAGTTTAATCAATTTCTCAAACTGAAGATGTTAAATATTCATCTCAAGAAACTCTACGGAGAAGCTCTTAACAAGAATGTTTTTCTTGTAATAAACTGGACACAGGAAATGAGTGAAAAATAACAGTTGGGCTTATACAGAATTAAACATGAGGTGGTGACAGCTTGGAAGAAATGGCTAAGGAGAATAAAGAAGTCACTTAAATTCCAAAAAGAATTCTACTAAAAAAGCGAGAAACCAACGGGGAAGATTATTCAATATGAATTAACAGAATATTTTCTTAAATTCATGCTTAGAGTCCATGTATCCAATTTTACCCTTAAAATGATCCCATTAAATTATCCAATAGGGAAAAAATAAGTGAGACAAAAGAGAAAGGTCCTTTTACCAAAGGAGAAGATGCCTTACTTTAACCTTATCTTTATCTCTAGAATTATTTCAAGTAGTAAAATAAGAACCTCTCTCCAAAATCTAATAAAAAATAAGATTTTTACAATCTGAGTAACCTTTCTTTAATTGCCTTCCAAAGCTTCAGTAAGGGCGTATCAAAGTCATACCAAGTAAACAAGTAGTAAAGGCCTATAGTGTGACCTTGAAGAGAAGGACAAGAAACTTGTCAAATTTAACCTCATTTAACTAGAATTTACAACTGGGCTCCATACTCCAGAAGTACAACAAATCAGTAGAGTTTAGTTCCACCAACACTGGAGTGTGCCAGTTACTAAGGATATACAATCCCAGACCTTAAGAAGTTGACGGTGCAAAGGAAGTGCTTACAGTCTTCAAGAAATCCAGGTTCAATACATACTCAAGAAATCCTTAAAGAAGGAGAGAGCACTTTATTGGGTGCCCAAATGACTAATAAAACAAGAGCTAAAAGAATCTAGGTAAGGAAGGGAGAGATTCATAAGAGTTAGCTGCCTCTAGGGTTCAAAGAAGGTTTCATGAATGCAGCAGAATCTAAGCTCAGCTCATGGACATATAAAGCATGGAAAGTCTGGAAGAGACAAGAAGGGCATTCAGGAAAAGGGGGTATTTGGGCTAGGACATCATGAGCCAGCTCAGAGGTATGGGAAGAGATAACATTTTTTAAAGGGTAGGAAGGAGGCAGGTCTGGCGGAAGTGAGGCTTTGTCCTGCAATAATTTAGCAGTAGAAGATAAGATTAAAAAAGGAAGGTGGGTCCTGATTACACAGGGCCTTGAATTCCAGCTTGAGGAGTGCCTCCTTAATTCTATAGTCAGTGGAGTTTTGTAGATTTTTAAATAGGGAAGTAATATGACAAAGGCAGTGATTCAAGAAGATTGATTTGTCAACTCTGTACACAGAGTTGAGGTTTAACAAGAATGAAAAAGGCTAACTTAGTAGGTGTTAAACTTAGTAGTCAAAAGTGGGCAAGACCTGTAAAGGTGCTAAGAAATATTCAGATTATCCTGACTTGCAACCAGATCACAGTATATACATTCTATTAAGAAATTTAACTCAATGAAATAAACTTCTGAGGCTCAATATCTGCAAGAAATTATGTTACAAGTATACCACAGGTGTAGCTAGGGGAGAAAAAAAGCTCAAAGAAAAGCAGACTTCTCCAATATTAATGATTATTTTTCAAGGATTTGTTAGTAATCATAATGAATTGCAGGATCATGGCTTCCAACCCAAGAATGTTGATATTATTAGCTCTAGCTCTTTAAAAACACAAGAAAAAGACCTGCTTCATCCTCACATACTGATATAATTTCTGGTATAGCCTGAATACTTCATGAAGATCACTGCTATTAGTAAGCCGTGAGCATATACACATGCATTTATTCATTCCACAGATATTTATTTAAGGTCTACTATTTGCCAGGTCCATTCTATACCCTGGAGATACAGCAGGAAGCAAAATAAAGTTTTTGTCTTCAAACGGCTTACGATCTAGTGGAGTATAGATTATAAAGAAATACAAAAACATATAAAGTAATGTCATATAACAGTGCCACGAAGAAACTAAAACAAGGCAATGGGATACTGACGATGGTGCTATTTTAGGTGAGACAGTTAAGATGAGGCTCTCTGAGAAGCTAACATTTAAGGAGAGATCTGAATGAAGTAAGGGAATGAGCCACATGAATTATATGATAATTAAGTCCACATGCAAAAAAAGGGACTTAGACCCTTACCTTAAACCATACACAAAAATTAGTTCAAAATTAACACAAAAATGGATTATAGACTGAAATGTAAGGTTAAAACTATAAAACTTCTAGGTGAAAACACAGGAGAAAATCACTGTGACCCTGGGTTAGGCAAAGTTTCTTAGATATGACACGAGAAGCACAATGCATAAAAGAAAAAAATTGATAACGTGGCCTTGCTCAAAATTAAGAGTTTTTCTCTTCAAAAGATCATTAAGAAAATGAAAAGATAAGACATAGACTGGAAAAAATTATCTGTAGATCATATATCTGACAGAGAACTTGTGTCCAGAATATATAAAGAACTCTTAAAATTCAGTAAGCAGACGACAATCCAACCAGTTATAAAACGGGCGAGAGAAATTGTCACAGGCCAGAGGGGCCTAAGGAGACATGACGAATAAATGTAATGGTACCCTGGACGGGAACCTGGTAAAGAAAAAGGACATTAGGAAACAAACTAATGAAATCTCAATAAAGCATGGAGCTCAGTTAATAACAATATCAATATTGGTTCATCTGTAAAATGTTAACAACAGGGGAACTGAGTGCAGGGTATACGGGAACTCTCTGTCCTATCTTAGCTACATTTCTCTAAATCTAAAACTACCCTAAAATGGTGAAAGATATAAATAGACAATTATAGAAAGAAGATGTATGAATGGTTTATTAGTCACTGGGGAAATGCAAATTAAAACTACAATAAGGTACCACTACTCACTAGCTAGGATGGCTATAAATACAAAAGACTGACAATATACCCAGTGCACTGGTGAGAATGCGGAGAAACTGGAGCTCTCATGTATTGCTGGTGGGATTCTAAAAGGTACAGTCACTTTCAAAAAACAGTTCAGCAGTTTCTTAAAATGTTAAGTATACTGTTACCCTGCATGACCCAGCAATTCTACTCCTAGGTATCTACCCGAGAGACATGTGAAAACATATGTCCACACAAAGACAAAGATGTTCATAGCAGGATTATTCATAATAGTCAAAAACTGTAAATGAGCCAAGTGTCCATCAACAGGTGACGGATAAACAAAATGTGGTATTCATATAATGGGATATTTTCAGCATTGAGAAGGCATAAACTACTGATACTTGCTACAACATGGATAAGCCTCAAAAATATTATGTTAAGTGAAAGAAGCCAGAAACAAAAAACTACATATGATTCTGTTGATACAAAATTTCTAGAAAAGGCAAAACTATAGAAACAGGATGTATATCAGTGGTTGCCTTGGGGCTATAGGTGGGAGCTGGGATACAAGGGAACTTTTTTGGATGATGAAAAAGTTCTAAAACTGGATGGTGGTGATAGGTGCAAAACAACATACATTTACGAAAACTCATTTAACTGTAACAGTGGGTGAATTTTATGCTGTGTAAATTATGCCTCAATAAAACTGTTTTAAAAAAAAGACAAATCAAAACCACAATGTTCTATTACCTCATACCCATTAGGGTAACTTAAAAACAAAACAAAACAGAAAATAACAAGTGTTGGTAAGGATGTGGAGAAACTGGAACCCTTATACTTTGTTCATGGGATTGTAAAATGGTGCAACCACTATGGAAAACAGTATGGAGGTTCCTCAAAAACTAAAAATAGAACTACCATATCATCTAGCAATCCAACCTCTGGGAATATAACCCAAAGAATTAAAAGCAGGGTCTCAAAGACATATTTGTACACCCATCTTCATAGCATTATTCAGAAGAGCCAAAAGGTGGAAACAACCCAAATGTCTGTTGGCAAAGGAATGGACAAACAAAATGTGGTATATACATACAATGGAATATTATCCAGCCTTAAAAAGGAAGGAAATCCTGACACATGTTAGAACATAGATGAACCATGAGGACATTATGCTATGTGAAATAAGACAGTCACATAAAGACAAATAATATATGATTCTACTCATATGAGGTATCTTAGGTACTCAAATTCATAGAAAGAGGAAGTAGAATGGTGGTTACCAGAGGATCCTGGTAAAGAGGAGTTGATGTTTAATGGATATATTGTTTTCAATTTGCAAGTTGAAAAAGCTCTGGAGATCTGTTTCACAACAATGTAAATATACTTAACACTACTGAACTGTGCACTTAAAAATGGTTAAGATGGTAAATTTTATGTTATGTGTATTTTACCACAATTAAAAACAAAGAAAGAAAACCAAGGGATGGTGTTTGGGCAATGCTAGATTTAGAGTTTAAAAGCAGACTGTTTTATGGCAGTACAGTGCTAAACAGAGTGAGAAAAATCCCAAGGGGCGGGTGAAACTGAGCAGATCAAAGTCACAACCACTTATAAATAATTATCCTCCTAGGATTAAACCTTGAGTATGCTTGTATTAAATAATGCTATTTCTCCTTACTGCATCATAGTCCATCACCACATCTGCTGTTCACATGACCATGCCTCTCCATCACACACACACACAGGAGCCGCACATATACACTCACATGTGTGGGTTTCTGAGTATATGCAAGTTCTCCCGTCCCCAACACACACACACACACACACACACACACACACACACACAGAAGTTGAGGCAAAAATCTTATCCTATTCCTAGGACTATCTCACATGATGCATCACCCTTGGTACCAGTGCCCTCTGTGCTCCCTCCTTCTTTTTTGGAGAGATACACTTCCCGGGCCAGCTACCCAAAGCCCAGAAGAGAATGATTATCTGGGACCTTTAGCCTGAAATGGAGCCAAACAGACAACACCCAAACCAGAACTGAGTGAAGCTCAAGGCTCTAAGAGAATCTTGTGTTCCTCAGCTGCTAGGTTTTCAAAATCATCTCAGCAAAATAAGAGTCTTCACATTCTAGGTTATCTAAATAGAATAAAAAGCAGCTTTTCTTTTCTCAAACGGTCAAATTAGATAAACCTGAAATGTTAGATATCTGATGGCCCACTAGTGAGCAGACCGTGTCACCATGCCTAGGTTTTTCAAAATCATTACGGCAAAACCAAGACAGAATTAATACCAGATGAGCTATGATCTAAGAGCCAAAGTATGACTTGCCTGTTGGAAATAGCTCAAAATTATAACCTTCCAAATAGGTTCAGCCTCAGGAGACCAGAATGAATCTGATACTCCTTTCAAGTGACTAGAACATCAGATTCACCTAGGAATCTAAGAGAAAAGTATCATCTTGCTGGTTTCCTCAAATAAGACTCTTCTCAGCATCCACAGAGCCCCACTCACAATTCACATTCAGTAAATACTTGTGGAAGACAGTGATTTCACTCCAGATCAACTTATCAATATCATAAATTCTATAACAATTTATTTTGGAATATAGTAAAAGCAGTTAATAACTCTCATTGAAAAAAAAACAAATCTGGCTCATAAAAAAGGTGCAAACAATAAGGCGTTTGGTTTGCCACAGGACAACTAGCCAGAAGTACCCTTGTCACAAAAGTCATTTCAAATTCCAAATTCCTCCATCATTTGAAAGAAGTGTCAGAAATATGTGCTTAAATAACTAAACAACATAAACAAGAAGTTAGACCTGTTTTCTCATAGGGTTACAAATGGTCTTAGATTATTCCTGGTCTGGTGAATTCCTACTGATCTACTTAAAGTCATCATGAATAAGAACAAAACTGGCAGAATTTTTGCGTTATACTAAAAAGTTCACAAACACTGAAAGCACCAGATGTTTAAAGCACAGTTGTCTAAAGTTCAAAAAACAAAAAAAATAAACTATGTCTTGGTATAGAAAAACAGCAAAGAGGACAGATATGGCTTGATTAAATCAAGCTAGTGCATATGTATAGTCTAAGTCAGTATTAAACAGAAGAGTAGTTAAAATAGGACAATTAAGAGCCATACTGAAGTGTTATTTTAATTATACTTTTATAATTTAACAGTTTTTTAATTGTCTAGGTTAATTCTGTTTTGATACAAGGTGTGGAGGAAACTGGTTAGTTTAGCTGTTCAAACATGCTACACATGTATATAGGCACATGCTGCCAGAGAAACAGGAAGAAGGTAGTCTGGTTTCTAAGTAACAAACTTTAACCAAATGTTTTAACAGAAGAAGTTACCAAATTAACCTTTAAGCTTGGGTGGGAAAAAAAAAACACACACACACAAAAACCTGGACCATCAAACCAAAGAATATGATGATCATTCAGAAAAATGAATACCAAGAAGCACACAGTGCCCTAAATTTGCAGTTTTTATCAACTCTTTTTTAAGAGTAGGGATTGGCAAACTTTTCTGTGAAGAGCCAGATAATAAATATTTTAGGCTTTGAGGGTCATACGATTTCAGTCACAAAGACTCAATTTTGCCATTGTAGCCCCAAAGCAGCCATAGACAATACGTAAAGGAATTAGCATGGCTGTGTCCCAATAAACGTTTACTTATGGACACTGAAATCTGAATTTCATATAACTTTCACAAAATATTATTCTCCTGTTTATTTCTCTTCAACCATTCAAAAATATAAAAAAATCATTCTTAGGTCATGGGCCAGACAAAAACAGGTGACAGGCTGGATTTAGCCTGTGGGCTGCAATAACCGCTGTTTAAGAGAACAGATCAGCCGCAGGTGTATCGAGGGGGATACCAGTCACGCTCTTCCTTGCTGGAATTCAGAGGAACAAATATACTGAGCTGACATCAGAAATAAATAAATAAACCATAAACTGAAATGTAATGGTGATGAATTGCTAATTAAAGAAATCTGATATAAGAATTATGTGGTTAGGGCCTCCCTGGTGGTGCAGTGGTTAATAATCCGCCTGCCAATGCATAGGACACAGGTTCGAGCCCTGGTCCAGAAAGATCCCACATGCCACGGAGCAACAAAGCCCGTGCGCCACAACTACTGAGTCTGTGCTTTAGAGGCCGTGAGCCATAACTACTGAGCCTGTGTGCCTAGAGCCCATGCTCCACAACAAGAGAAGCCACCGCAATGAGAAGCCTGTGCACCGCAACGACGAGTAGCCCCCGCTCGCCACAACAAGAGAAAGCCTGCGCACAGCAACGAAGACCCAACACAGCCCAAAAGAAAATAAATAAAATAAATTTAAGAAAAAAAAATTATGTGGTTAGATAATTAGATCCTAAGCACCAGCAAACTGCTTGAATCAGGCGAGCAGAAAGTTTATCAGACTCTAAGGGTCAGAAGTTTCACAAAAATGTTTTGACCAAAAGAAACAACTAATTTCTCTCAAAGTAGAAGGAAACTTGCTACAGTGTTGATGATAAGTAAACTGTTTTTTTTTCTTTCCAGGTTTATTTGAAAAACGTTGTTTACATAATATTCTCAACTCACCAGAAAAGAAATACAATGGCTCAGTCGAGGAAATATGCCTGACATCTGGTGGAAGCCTTAGGTACTGTAGGTATGTGACCTATATTATTTACTGAAGGAAAAACAAACAAACAGAAGAAGGGGGAT